GAAGCCGTAGCCCCTCGCACCTCGCTTTGCACGCGCGTGATCGGCGCGACGCCTGCCTCAACTTGACGCTGAGCCTCCTCGTGGGAAGTGAAAACCACCGCCGCGTCAACAACCACCGGCAACCGCACCGATGGCGCAAAAGGCTCGGCCGGTGGATATTCACGTATACTTTGTTGCCGCCTTTGCCGTTCTTTGGCGTCTTGATTTTGCTTGTATAACATTACCAGGAACACCGAGAAAACGACCACGAGTGCACCAAACATGCAAGTTATGGTGATCTTCGCATACGCTTCCGTCATTTGTGCGGTAAACTGAGGTGGAGAGAGAAAAATGGGAAAACCGAGGAAAAAGTATGGGAGCGTGGTGTACACAGGCCTCGTGTGCGGGTGTGCCTGGAAAGACCGCAGTCAGAAAGAAGGGACAGAGCTATTAAAAATACGGGGCAAAGAGATAATGATGATGAAAGGAGGAGGAGGCTGGTACCTCCCTTCATCCCCCGCCCTGCTCCACCGCACGGTGCTGCACAGGCAGCAATGGCCACGCCCCGATGGCTGCTGCGCCAGGCGCAAAATGCTTCGCCCACCGAGGAATCGCGGGCGAGATTGGCCCAGCGTGAGACAAGGAACTAACGTCGAGGCGTGAAAAAGAACGAGAAAAAATAAATATGCACTGCCCCGCCCGCCTACTCAAGAAGCATGTGCGTGTGATCGCGGTCGTACTCCTTTTATTCCTACACACACACACAGAGAGAGAGAGAGAGAGAGATAGAAAGGGCAACAGTGAGGTAAACCCCAGTTTGGCTAAGCACACTGGCAAATCCCCCCTTCCCTTCCCTTCCCTTCCCTCCCCTACACACACACATGCACGCAATGCAGAGAACATTCATCTAACATTCATAGACCAACAGTCGGCAGGATTCAAAAGAGATGCGCCACAGCCCACCAGACCCTCCGTGCGCACGTGTGTGTATGTGTGTGTGAAGATAAGCAAAAACAACAACAACAAAACTGCATGCTCTGCCTCCAATCACAGTAACGTCAGGGACACACAAACACATAACCAAACAAAAACACTCACCCATTTTGATTAGCCTCCCACATCTGGTCACAAATTCCCCGCCTCCTACGATTATAAAACAAAACAATTAATAGAGAAATAAAAAAACACACACGTGCCTCCAGTGAATAAACATATATATTATGTACCCATCGCAATGCCGCGTGTTTCTCTCCATCCCATCCCATGCATCCGTATGGAGAAGCATTCATGACATTGGAGACTTTCACTCCTCCATTGTTCGGTTTATTTTTATTTTGTCGCACACTTCTACAATCTACCCTGCTGAGATCCTTTGGCGTCATGCATGCCGCCAACCACGACGGCATCGCGGACGGGGCCATTGTCCGGTTGTGGTATGTACTGCGCCTGCCCATACACAAACGCGGAACCGCTAAAAGGTGGGCGGTGGTGCCGCGGCTGCGGGCGGTGGCGGGTGCTGGCCTAGCGGCAACCCCCACGTGGAGGGCGGCTGTGGCACCTGGGGGGGACTGTACGTGTAAAACTGCGACTGCATAGTATCCGGCCCCAGATGCGGCAACTGTATCTTAGAAGGCCCTTGATTCCACCCCCCAGCGTGGGCCTGGGCCTGCATCCGCCGCTGGTGCAGTTTTACACAAAAAACCAGTCCGCAGAAAAGAGTCCACCCCACCAAAATCACCACAAATAATAAAAAAGGGAACATCCTTCACGCGCGGACACACGCCACTCTACAACTCCCCAAAGGGTGCGGAACGCAAGCAGCAACTGCAACATAAAAAAAGAGAAAAAAACAGCGGGGGGTTGGCAGGAACGTTATGCACAGGCAGCTTCAGTACAAACAATCAGGCAATGTGCGGAAAAAAAAAGTGTGCGCGTCCAACCGCGCAACCTGTGACGTGTCACATTTCTTCTCCCACCAACCACAGTTAGCAAAGAACCCGCAGGACGCATGGTGGCTGGTGGCGGGCATGTATGAGGCGTGTGAGTGCTCTCTACCCAGCAACGTGAGGCCCTCGCCCCGAGCAGCGGTGCGCCAAGGAGGAGCGCCCCACGCCGCAAGCACCGTCAACGATAACCACCCATCGAAAAAACGCGTACGTCGCGCCGCCAGGGAGCGTGACAATAAAACGCCAAACAACCTCTCGCACACACATACATACATACAAAAA